GTGGAGGGGGGGCGTCGCGTGCGAACCATGCCACTGGGGAATTCGTTGGAGCTCCCCATGGGGCCACGAAGCGTGTGACGGGCGTGCCAAAGTGGAGGGGGGGGAGGGCGGGGCGGCATGCGATCCATGCCACTGGGGCCTTCGGTGGAGCTCCTTATGGGGCCACGAAGCGCGTGAGGGGCGTGCCAAAGTGGAGGGGGGCGGTGCGGCATGCAATCCATGCCACTGGGGCCTTCGATGGAGCACCTATGGGGCCGCGAAGCGTGTGAGGTGCGTGCCAAAGTGGAGGGGGCGCTGGATGCGAAGCATGCCAACGGGGCCTTCGGTGGAGCTCCTCATGGGGCCACGAAGCGTGTGAGGGTGCGCCAAAGTGGAGGGGAGGCGGGGCGGCATGCGAACCTTGCTACTGGAGCCTTCGGTGGAGCTCCTTATGGGGCCACGAAGCGTGTGAGGGGCGTGCCAAAGTGGGGGGGGGGGGGCGGCATGCGAACCATGCCTCTGGGGCCTTCGGCGGAGCTCCCAACAGGGCCACGGAAACGTGTGAGGGGTGTGCCAACCAAAGTGGAGGGGGCGCGGCGTGCGAACCATGCCACTGGGGCCTTCGGTGGAGCTCCTTATCGGGCCGCGAAGCGTGTGAGGGGTGCGCCAAAGTGGAGGGACGCGGCATGCGAACCATGGCATTGGAGCCTTCGGTGGAGCTCCCTACAGGGCCTGGATACGTGTGACAGGTGTGCCAAAGTGGAGGGGGCGCGGCATGCTAACCATGCCACTGGGGCCTTCGATGAAGCTCCCTACAGGGCCACGGAACGTGTGAGGGCTGCGCCAAAGTGGATGGGGCGCGGGATGCGAAGCGTGCCACCGGGGCCTTCGGTGGAGCTCCTCACGGGGCCATGAAGCTTGTGAGGGGTGCGCCAAAGTAGAAACGGGGACGGCGTGCGATCTATGGGGTCTTCGTTGGAGTTCCTCATGGGGCCAGGAAGCGTGAGAGGCGTGTGCCAAAGTGCGGGGGGAGAAGCGGGAGGAGGAGGAGCGGGAGGAGGAGGATAGGATAGGAGAGGAGCGGGAGGAGGAGGAGGAGGAGGACGAGGAGGAGGAGCGTGGGAGTAGAGGGAGGAGCGAGGGGAGGAGGAGAGGAGATGAGAGGAGGATGAGTTCCGGGGACCATCCCTTCAAAACGAGGACCCAACACCACAGGACGGCTGGGAACTGTAGCAGAGTGCCCGCGTGGCCCTCGAACACGACTTGAGAGCTTGCCGCAAAGTGCACTGCAACCTGTTTTTCCCTGGAAAGGGCGTAGGCCCAGGGTTCTCTTTTAGTGGGTTTACCTCCTGGTCTGACGGGAAGATGGCCGGCCGATTTCTTTTGCGATAAATAACGAGTGGGAAGAGGGCCGGCGAATTAAAAGTTGAGGATGTCTCGAGCGAAACGCTAGTTGTTCATAATTTGTTGAGGAAGTCTCGAGCGAAACGCTTGTTTTGTGTTGTAGATTGTCCTCTCCTGGGGACCTGAATTCAGAGGATCTTTCAAGACTCAAGTGACATGCTTGTTTTCACGTTCCCAGGTCTTGAGGATGTCTCGAGACGCTTAGTTTCACGCCTCCAGGTTGCCCAGACCGAGGTCTAGCGCCAGGATTTGTTGAGGATGTCTCGAGCGAGAAGTTTGGTTTCACGCGTCCTCGTCGCCCAGGCGGATGTCTAGCATGAGGATGTGTCGAGGAAGTCTCGATCGAGACGCTTGTTTGCACGTGTCCAGGTTGCCCAGGCGGATGTGTAGCATGAGGATGTGCTGAGAACGTCTTGAGCGAAACGCGTGTTTTCACGTGTCCAGGTCGCCCAGGCACAGCACAGCCCTCAGCACGGTACATCAATATCGATACCCTCAGCATTGCAGCCTGGCATGTTGCCTGGCACGTTCCGCGGAGCGTCCCGTGGCAGTCCCCCTGGCTCGTCGCGCGGTGCACGTCCATTGGCACGTTCCGTAGCGCGTCCCTTTGGCACGTCCCGCGGTGCGTGCCCATGGCACGTCCCCTGGCACGTCGCCTGGCGCGTCCCTTGGGACGTTCCGCGGCGCGTCCTCCTGGCATGTCCCCCTGTCGATTAGTTCTGGGGCAGCTACCATCTGCTCAGGCAGCTCGAGCTTAAGATCCAGATCAGTTCGGTCAGGACTCGGATGCCAGGGAGGACTCGATCCACAACGCTATATAGAGCACAATCGCGGCATGGCACATCGCAGTTCAGCACGGCCCAGCACAGCACAGCCGTCGGCACGGTACATCAAGATCGATACTTTCAAAATTGCACCTTGGCACGTTCCTTGGCGCATTCCGTGGCGAGTCCACCTGGCACGTCGCGCGGCGCGTCCCCTGGTACGTCCCGCGGCACGTCTATTGGCACGTTCCGTAGCGCGTCCCCTTGGCACGTCCCGCGGTGCGTGCCCATGGCACGTCCCTTGGAACGTCGCTTGGCGCGTCCCTTGGGACGTTCCGCGGCGCGTCCTCCTGTCATGTCCCCTTTGTCGATTAGTTCTGGGGCAGCTACCATCTGCTCAGGCAGCTCGAGCTTAAGATCCAGATCAGTTCGGTCAGGACTCGGATGCCAGGGAGGACTCGATCCACAACGCTATATAGAGCACAATCGCGGCATGGCACATCGCAGTTCAGCACGGCCCAGCACAGCACAGCCCTCGGCACAGTACATCAAGATCGATACATTCAGCATTGCATTTGTCCGTCGCCCAATCAGGTGTCGTTGAAACTTTGCCATGCCTTACATGTCTATATTTCTTTCCGGGTTCGTGGGTCGATCATGTTCGATGGGTTTCTTTTCCACCACCACCACCACCACCGTAAGTTGGAGAGGGAGGACGTCCTGTTCCTCCTCCACCTCCTCCTCCTCCTCTTCCGCCTCCTCTTCTTCGTCCTCCTCCTTGTCCTCCACCTTCTCCCCCCCGCCAGCTTATGGTGGTGTTGGTGTCGGTGGGAAACAAACCCATAATTTTTTTGGCAGGGATGGCGGGGGGGGGGGAGGGGCGGCGTATTGGCTCTGGTTTTTCGCCGGTCGGGTGGGGGAGGGGGTGTGGATTGAGAAGGAGCGTCCATGAACCCCTCCCTGAAGGGAAAGAGGGGACCTCTAGGAGGAGGAAGGGGGAAGGGGGCTGGAGGGCGAAACGCCTAAACCACCTACGCCCTGGAGGGCTGGTTGGATTCCACGTGCCCGCGACGAGACTCGAGGTTCGAGGGTCGAGGTTTCGGGATGGTTTCCACACCTCTTGGGGGGCGTCCTCGTCGCCACGACCTGGCCCGCCTCGAGATGCGGACTGCTGCGGAGCTCGAGGCCATCGGCCCTAGCGGTCGCCACGAGGCTCTCCCCCTACTTCCTGCTCCTCGTCCTCCTCCGCGTCTCCCTCGCCTCGGCCTCTTGCAATCAGGGGCAGCGTTGGGGAGGGGGATGGCCTGGCATCGCTCGGGCGTGTGCGCTTTTTCCCTCGGCGAGGACCATCGAGGAGCATCCCTGACCACTTGTCGAAACAACCACGCACGAAACCGACAAAAAACACAGGGAAGGGACGTCCGAGCGATGGCGAGGTGGGCTCGAGGCGGGGCGCGTCGACCCCCCATCGCCCAATGATCGCCGACGGGTGCCCGATGACCCCGCCCCGCCCAGGAACTCGCGGACTAGCTGTCGCAAGGGCTCCCTCGAGGGCGCGAAGTTATTCGCGCTTCGCGCTTCGCGGTCCTCGTTCCTTCTCCCCCTCCTCCTCGTCCTCCTATTCTCCCTTTGGGAGGGCGGCGCGAGAGCGCGAAGTTATTCGCGCTTCGCGCTTCGCGCAGCGCGAAGCGCGAAGTTGGGAGCCCTAGCTGTCGAGGGCCCACTCGCCGATCTACCGGCGATGTACCGCCGAGCCCAGGTCGAGGTGTGCCCCCCCCGGAGTTGCCCCCCCCCCCCCAGGGTTGACCCTCATGGCTCCGTTGGAGTATATGTCATGCCATGCCTCCTCCCTCCTGGGTCCTCCCCTATATCTCCTCCTCGTCTGGCTCCACGCCCCCTGCGGCTGCTGCAGCAGCATCGGGCAGGGTCTTACGACCGATCGCTGGACGGCAGATCGGTCGGACACTTTGCTGGTGGGGTCGTGGTGAGGTTCTGCCCTCGTCCCGACTGCCTTGGTCGTCAGTCGTTCAATGTGGGAGTTAATCTTAGATGTCCGCCACTCGTACCCATTTCGGGGCCCATAGCCATCAACAACGGATCGGCGGCGAAACGCTGGCCTTAGGGAAAGGATCAAGAGTTTTGCGACCGCGGATTGAACAAGTCACTTGAGACGAATCCGACCTATTCTCCACAGGAGGCGACTGTTTGTATGAAGGCTCCATACAAAAGAACACATCGCCAGGTATGCAGGATCTGCGCTGGCCTCATCTCCGCCGTGCCTCGCAGGAGCCAACGACAAGTTGCGCAGTTCATAGCCTTCCAGGGAGCCGCGAGGTCTCGGCTGGATTCGCGGCGCCCCCTATTCCGTCGGACCTCCCAGGAGCCCACGAAAGAGGCGACTGCTGCGCAGTTCATAGCCTTCCAGGCAGAATTGAAGTCTCGGGTACTCCCCCACTCCGCCGTGCCTCCCAAGAGCCCACGAACGTGGCGACAGTTGCGCAGTTCGCAGCATCCCAGGGAGCTGCGAAGTCTCGGGTACTCCCCCACTCCGCCGTTCCTCCCAGGAAAGCCATCTGCGTCCTGAAGACGTGTCGTTCGAGGAGATGGGGAGGCCCATGCTGGTGCTACAGCTCTACTCTGAAGTCGGGCCTGTCCCTCCGCAGGAGGGATATCCAAAAATAGCCACGAGGACGATTTTTCATAATTTTTGATCATTTTGGGGTATTTGTTGACTATTTTTTCTTTTTCCCCAAATCCGCCTTAATGGGGGACAGGCCCGACTTAACTTTAGGCAGGCGGCGGTCATTGCTGCTGATGGCCTGGCCTGCTCCGGTCGAGGAGAGACGTGCCGAGGTGGCTCTACGAGCGAAAGGGCGGCACCAGCAGCAGTTCCGCTCCGGTGGCCCCACTGATGCCCACAGGGAAGGGGAGATAGGAGCGCGCTGCGACGGCTGGTGCCAAACGCAACAGGTTTGGGTGTTCAGGTTATGGTGTTCCAACCTACTTTAGCCTTGATCGCCAGAATTACGAGCACCAGAAAAGTACCGAAACTCGAGGGTCTTCACGTGTGGGGCCCCGGAAGCACTCGTCCGACACAGTTTCGACATTCTTTCGACACTTTTCCGGGTGCTCGAAATTTTTGGGATGTGGTCCTTAAGTACGATGGGGGCAACATAATGTTCAGGATGATTTGTTCGTCGGTTTAGCAATTTTCGTTGCCAGTTTGTTGGGGGCCGTGGGGAAGAACTCATCTACATAAGTTGTGAGGGAATTTTGGAGTCGCCGGGATGGCAAATGCAATATTCGATGATTGTCAAGTTTGACGGTCCAGGCCCGTCAGGCATGCTGTTAGGTCGGGCCTGTCCCCCTACAGGCGGAACTTCGACGAAGTATAAAAAAAAGAGAGAGAAACAAATATTCACAAATGGGCAGAACATCGTCCCCATAATATTTTTTCGACTATTTTTGTATATTCCCTCCTGTAGAGGGACAGCCCCGACTTCAGCATGCTGCCCATTTACGCGTTGCCCGATGATCACTGGAGGGATTCGAGCTGTCGCGTGTGCATCACAGGGCGTTGAGGAATCAGGGCAGTGGCAGCAGGCGTCCCAAACTAGCCGGACGTCTGACGCTCGGCAGGCCCTCGCATTGTCCCTCCGGGGCCCCGAAACGGTGCTGAGAACTTGCTTCGGCAGCTGCGCCTGGTTGTTGGCTCCGAGGCTCTCTCGTATGAGAATGTCGCTCGTGGCAGTGCTATCTGCCTACGGCAGGTTCGCGTCGTGTCGACGCGGCGGCGACCCCGCCGCGGGCTTTCAAGGTTGAACGTCACCCGTGGCCCAGAATCGGTCGTTCCAAACTGGAACGACCTGGTTTTCGGAAAGCCGCCGATTGTTCAAGATTGAACGATTCACGCGGTGTCAGCAACCAACGCCGAAGTCGGCACGACATAATGTTGCGGCAACAGACGTGTTCGATATTCCTAGGATGATCGGGCTCCTCTTCGGAATGTCTTCGGACAGCGTAGGAAACCGTGAGGTCCAGGCCACGCCGATAAACAGCCGTCATTGCAAATCGATTGGCGTCTACACAGCATTCTTCTACCGCTTGTATGCAGTCCAGGCCAGAGAAACCTGAGGGCACATAACCCCCCCGCCTCTTGCACATGCCTACTCTGATTTAGACGGCATGGTGCACCAATATTAATATTCTCTACGGCCTTGTCGAGTCATTTGCGCGCAGTCGTAAGCAATTCAACACAATTTGGCTTAAATTATTAGTCTTACCGCTATTATGTGGAAGTCCGCTGCATGGAGCGAAAAAGTATGTTGATCGCAGTGTGCCAGCATCCACGCACGCACTAGACTTTATCAACAGATAGTTTTTGGACGTTTGTCACCAGTCGCTCATTATCGTGTTTGGTGTTCTATAGGCGCACATATTCCACGCCGCAGGCTGACAACCTCAGTGGGTCGCGAATGCTTTTTATTCGTAGGTGTAGTTCCGTTCAGCCATTGTAGTACCGCGCGCGTCGGGTGCGCCTTGCATGCGATCTGCTACTGTACAGGGCCTCCCTTGCATCCGGGGGGCAGGGCACCCAGCCTGGATGGTTGACGCCCACGCTGTGAGCTGAGCACGCAACTAGTAGGTTGCATAAAAGCATTGTACGGTAGGTTCGCGTCGTGTCGACCGGCGGCGACCCCGCCAGCGGCGGTCAACGTTGAACGCCGCGGGGGACCCAGAATCGTTCGATGTGGAACGATTTGGACGTTTCGGAAACGGCTGATCGTTCCAGGTTGAGCGATCCCCGCGGTGTCAGAAACCAAAGCCGATGCCGGCACGACACGAGCCTGACGTATGAATTTTTTGAACGTCCGGAGCACAACATGTATATCGGGGGAGCGAAAGTCTCGAGTTTGCTGGATTTCGGATTTGCCACCATGTTGTGACGGTCCCGGTGTGAATTTGAGGGTCTGGTGTTCGTTAGATGTTTGCAGCGAGAAGCCGCGCCAGATGTCAGATTATGTCACGTCGTTTTTTTACGTCCCCGTCAGGCCAACACGAGTCCCCCTCCCGAATCTTACGCCCGCCCCTGGAGAGTGGAGCTAACCCAAGACTGTAAGAGTTTAACAGGACCTCGAGGTCAAAAGGCGTGAGCAACTGTATTGTTGACGATTAGCTTCTCGAAGATTGCGCGACTATTACGCGACTCTGTCGACTCCCCGCGGTTTGCTCTGGGGATGCGGAGGATGCGTGGGAGCACGCGAGGACCAACCGTCCTCGTGCCAAGGGGAGCGTTCGGGGAGGTGGTCGGTTAGTTATCGAGGCTGTTTGTGTGTGTGTGCGTGTGTGTAAGTGTGTGTAAGTGTGTGTGTGTGTGCGTGTGTGTGTGTGTGTGTGTGTGTGTTGTGCGTGAATGTGTGAATGTGTGTGTGTGTGTGCGCGGGCATGCGTGCGTGCGTGCGTGCGTGCGTGCGTGCGTGCGCGGGTGTGTGTGTGTGTGTGCGTGTGTGCGTGCGTGCGTGCGTGCGTGCGTGCGTGCGTGCGGGCGGGCGTGCGTGCGTGCATGTGTGTGTGTGTGTGTTTGTGTGTGTGCGTGCGTGCGTGCGTGGGTGCGTGCGTGCGTGGGTGCGTGCGTGCGTGCGTGCGTGTGTGTGTGTGTGTGTGTGTGTGTGTGCCGTGCGTGTGTTCGAGGATGTGCGCTGTCGGTTCGGCTGCATCGCAGTCGGTTGCGTTCTTTCGTTTACTGTCCGTTCGGTCGGCTGCTGTGTCGTTGTTGCGCCGCTGCTTCCCTATAGGCCGCCTACAGCCTATCACCAGCAGGGAGCAAACACAAACAGACACAATTCATCGCCGATTCCCCAGAACATATGGGAACACGTGGGAAGTGGGGGGGGAGACGAACATCCAAAACACCTGGGACAACATGGGGGAATCCTGTTATTTGTGTTTTTTGTGTGTCCCAGGGCCCCTTTATATCAGTTTCGACCCGTTCTGGTTTCGCTGTCGGTTCGGTCGGTTTTCGGTTGCGCCGTCGCCGTGGACGGCATTGGTGTTGGAGGGGCCCTCTTTGGTTCTGTTGGCGCCGTCTGGGGACGTGCTTCTTGGAGGGGGGGGGCATGGGTCCCGATGTGATTCCTCTCGGAACCGTTAAGGGAGCATGGGCCACAAGCGGAAGCGGTGAACATGTCCGCATCCGCGCCCTCGCGGTCTGATTTCCGGGACGCGATCCCGCGGACGCGGTCGCACGGATATGTGTTCCGCGCGGGTTATCTGCGAACAAACGCCTTGCGGCCCAGGGGGGCCTACCCCGCGAGGCCGCGGATCAGAGGTTTCTTGGTGAGATCGCAGTAGAAAGGAGAGCTCCCCACTGGGAAAGTGGTTTCGGTTTCGTGTTCGTGTTTTGCTTCCGGGCGAAGCGAAGCTGCGCGAGTTCGCGAAAGGAATGATCCCCCCGTCGCCAGGGCGATTCGCATGCAAAAGTCCAGCCCTCTGGTGGGCGCGTGGTAGGTGGGGATGTTCTGAGGTGGTGTCTCGCGGTGTCCCGATGGTGTCCCGCGGTGTCTCGCCGCGGTTGCGGGAGAGGAATTATGAAAGCGCGCCAGTGGATGGCCCTGAATACGCAAAAGGGGGGGGTGCTCGCAGAACCCCCCCCCCTCCCCCTTCAAAGGGGGGGTGAGATTTCCGCCCCTCCCCCCCCCTCCCTCCCTTGGAGCGGGGGGGGGTCCAGACCACCCCCCCTCCCCCCTTGGCGCTGGAAAAAGGGGGGGAGTTCGACCCCCCCCCCCCCTTTGCGCCGAACAGGGGGCTGGGGAGGAGGCCTCTCGGGTAGTGAGTAGAGAGAAGAATGTTTTGAGTAGCGCTGTGTGAGTAGTGGGTATTTGATAGTGAGTAGTGCGCAGTGAGTCGTGATTAGTGAGTAGTGAATAGTGGGTAATGGGTAGTGGAAGTAGTGAGTAGTGCGTAGAGATTGGTGAGTAGTGAGTAGTGGGTAATGAGTAGCGGGAAGAGTAGACAGTAAGGAATTATGAGCAGTGTGCAGTGAGGAGTGAGCAGTGTGTAGAGAGAGTAGTGCATAGTGAGTAGTAAGCAGTGAGCAGGGCTGAGGGAGTATACAGTAGCGAATAGCGAGGAGTGAGTAGTGAGTAGTGCGCAGTGAGTAGAGAGTAGTGAGTAGTGAGTGGTGAGTAGCGAGTAGCGAGTAGCGAGTAGCGAGCAGGGAGCGGCGAGTAGGGAGTAGCGAGTAGTAAGTAGTGAGTAGCGAATAGGGCCTTGTGAGTAGTGAGCAGCGAGGGGGGAGTAGTCAAGAGTCAGTAGTGAGTAGGGAGTAGGGAGTAGTGCGTAGCGAGTACGGACTAGCGAGTAGTGAGTAGTGAGTAGTGAGTAAGGAGCCGAGAAGCGAGAAGTGCGTATTGAGTAGTGGGTAGTGAGTAAGGAGCTGCGAGTATAAATTCGTGAGTAGTGAGGCGTGGCTTGCGACTAGTGACTAGTGAGTAGGGAGTAGTGAGTAGCGAGTAGGGCGTAGTGGGCAGTGAATATATCGCATTGGGTAGCGAGTAGCGGATAATGGGTAGTGAGTTGGCCTCAGTGCGTAGTGAGTAGTGAACTGTGAGTACTCAGTAGTAAGTAGTGGGTGGTGGGTAGTGAGTAGTGCTAGTGAGTAGTGAGTAGTGGGCCGTGAGTAGTGTTTAGTGAGTCGTGAGTATTGCGAATCGGGTGGTGAGTAGTCAGTAGTGCTTTGGGAGTAGTGAGTAGTGAGTAGTGGGTAGTGAATATCGCGTATCGGGTAGCGAGTAGAGCGTTGGGATTGGCGAGTAGTGCGTTAGTGAATACCGTGTAGTGAGTAGGGAGTAGCGAGTAGCGAGTAGTGGATATTGAGTAGTGAGTTGTGGGCAGTGAGTAGTGAATAGTGAAGTGTGAGTAGTGAGCAGTGGACAGTGGTTAGTGGGTAGTGAGTAGTGATTTGGGAGTAGTAAATCGTGGGTTGTGAGTTGTGTTTCGTGAGTAGTGAGTATGAAGTAATGGTGAGTAGTGAGTAGGGAGTAGGGAGCAGTGAGTAGTGGGTAGTGAGTCGTGGGTAGTGCGTAGTGAATCGTGAGTAGTGAGAAGTGAGTAGTGAGTAGCGAACAGTGACTTCTGGGTAGTGAGTAGTGCGTAATGAGTAGTGAATGCTGTTTGGGGCTAGGGTTTGGGTTTGGGGTTAGGGTTGGGGGTTAGGGTAAGGGTGAGGATTAATGTTAGGGGTGGTCGGGGTCGGGTTCGGGAGACCGGGGGCGCCGTGGCGAAAGGGGATAGGGGGTTTCGAATTTGGCAGCCAAAGGGGGGGAGGGGGGGGGGGGTCGGAACCCCATCCCCTCCCTTTTGAAAGGGGGGGGGGGGGGGGCGTTCCCCGACGACGGATTCGGAAAGGGGGGGTGGTGGGAGGGGGGTCCCCGACGACGGATCGGGAAAGGGGGGGAGGAGGGGGAGGGTTCCCCGACGACGGATCGGGGAAAGGGGGGGGGTCCCACCCCCCCCCTTGGGGTCATCCAGCGGCGCGCCTTCAGGAAGTATCCCGCCGTCGCCATGGCGATTCGGATGCAGAAGTCGGGCCTTTTCGTGGGCGCGCGGTGGGTGGGGCTGTCCCGCCGTGGTGTCCCGTGTCGTCCCGATGGTGTCCCGCGGTGTCCCGCCGTGGTGTCCCGATAATGTCTCGTGGTGCCCCGTAGTGTCCCGTGGTGTCCCGCGGTGTCCCAGTGGTGTCCCGCGGTGTCCCGTGGCGATCAGTGGTGTCCCGGCGCGGTGTCCTGGCGCGGTGTCCCGGCGCGGTGTCCCGATGGTGTCCCAATCGGTAGTGACATCGATAACGACCGAGATGCTGTGATATCGGTCGTGAGATCGATCGTTGGATCGACCGTGAGGTCGATGGTGATATTTGTAGTTGCATGTCAGGCTATGCCATGCTATGCCAGCATCTGTCGGGTTATGAGCCGTGTTGGCAGCGACTCGGTCACCGAATTTGGCGGGCTCGTGTTATAGGCGCGCAGTTCACTTGGAGGCGATGGCGCGAGTGCGAAAACAACATCACACCGCGTCATCAACTCTCAGCCACCACAGTCCGGAAACATCCATCACAGCGCAGTGGCGGTGGCATTGATTGGAACCGATGGTGTCCCCATGGTGTCCCAATCGTACCCAGCGCCGCTTTGTGTGAGATCGCTAATGGGATCGATCTTTGGGTCCATGGATGCGAAGGTAGGTCGTGAGGTCGATCGGGAGATCGATTGATTACCAGGGTCGATAGTGACATTACATCGCGGCGCAACATTGTCATCCCGCCTCGTCGCCAACTCGAAGGCCCGCCACCAACAGCGTGATCATCACACTCACCGCAGTTGCCAGCCGCTGATCCTTGCCCCTCCCCCCAATTTCCTTATCACCCGGAGTGTGGTCGATACTGGGGCGCAGCAGCAGCGGCAGCCAAGTGCAGCAGCCTGCTAATGTTCCACCCCCCAGGGGGCCCTGGCCAGACCCTGGGAGCGTCAAGAGACGTTTCGTGATGAAAGACCAGTCCTGGAGACGCAGTCTCGACCTCCCATGCTCGACGTTGCGAAAAAAAACACGAAGCTGGATCGGCGTTGGAGCTCTGGTGGAACCGAGCAGAGGGCAGGATCATTTGAAGGCGAGGAGAGGCAAGTAAAGGACGGAGCACGATGTGAAAAGGGTGGGGGGGGAGGGAGCGGGAAAGATCCTGGCCCCTGGGCCGCGACCCCGCGGATACGGGGCGTTTTTTTTGGCGGATGCGCGAGATGCGTCCGTGAAAGAGCGTATCTGCGGGACCGTGCCCTGGAATCGGATATGTTCGCCGCTCGTTGGCGGCCTGACAGGGGGGGGGGGAAAGATGGTTCTTCTTTTGTTCCCAGGAGGCTCGGAAGGTCCCCAGCCTTCGAAGAAGTTTTCTTAGCCCTCCCGGAAGACACGAACAACTTTTCAGAAGGCTGGAGGGCTTCCGAGAAGCCCCGCCGCCTTCTGAGAAGGCCTGTTCCCTTCTCACTTCCCCCGGCCGCGACGCCGAAAACCGTGGGGGGGGAAAGTCAGCCACGCGCAAAGGGGGGTAGGGGGAGCATGGAGAGTTACTTAGAGGCACCCCTGCTTCTTACGATTTTTTCCCTCCCCCATACCCCCTTGCGCGCCGCCAAGAAAGGAAGCGGCGGAGGAGTTGAACGAGGCCCAGACGAGGATAGATTTGCCCAGAGCGTTCCAGAACGCTCTCAGAGCGTTCGCGAGCGCTCTGAGAAGGCCGCGGCGCCCGGGACATCCTCCAGAGCCGCCGGATCTCAGAGAATCTCGATTTTTTCTCATCCGATGTTATCTTCGTCCTGGCTTCGTTTTAGGTGGTGATGCCGATTTCTTCAATGCGCGATCGTCGGAAGTCCCGACCCTCTCCCCGGGACCAGTTCGTCCTGAGTAGTTGTTGACGGTCCCGTGGTCCGGCGAGGTCTTCAGAGGCCGATAACGGCGAAACACTTCCGAATTCGATTTTCCAACACGTGGGAGGTCTGGAGACCGATCCTCGCCGCCTGAAAAGTTTTTTGGCCGCTCAGGAAGAACAGGGAAACCTTGAGATGTACCCCGAGGGGACGCCCCCCCCATCGTATATCCCAGGGTTCGGGCCCAAAATTTTGAGTCCATTCGAAAACCCCACATGGCCTGGGATAGTGGCCGACATATCCCCCGTTAGCCTCCGTCCTGGCTCTGTCCTGCCCCGAGAACGCACGCCAGCCCGAGCGTTTCTCGAGGCTGGCGGCCTCTGGCGTAGTCGCTCCTGCGGCGCCCTCCTTGGCGGCGCCGCGGGCGCGGGCGTGCGGGCGCAGGAGTTGGTGCCCTGCTTTCGCTGGCAATGTCCCCCTCCTCATCACCCTCCTCCCTTTTCCTCCTTCCGCTCCTCCTCCTCCTCCTATTGCCCCCCTCCTCCCCCTCCTCCTCCTCATCCTCCTCCTACGTATTCCCCACAAGCTTCGTGGGGTTCTGGTTTCCTGGTCTGCCGCGTCGCACCGGCGTCTTCCCTTCCCCACATGTTTCGTGGCGTTTGGGCTGTCTTCCCTGCCGCGTCGCACCCGCGTTCCTTCTCCTCCTCCTCCTCCTCCTCTTCCCTCCTCGCAGCCGCACACGCATCATACACATGCGCGCAAGATTCGCAAGGCGTGGCAGGCGTGGCCCTTTCTCGACACCATAAGGGGGTGCGCAGGGGGTGGTCCCTCACCGTGGTCTCTATCCGTCGCAGGGTCGCAAGGCGTGGCAGGCGTGGCCCTGTCTCGACACCATAGAGGCTGCGCAGGGTGTGGTCCCTCACCGTGGTCCCTATTCGTCTCAGGGGGGGTCTCAGATGTTGGCACCAAACACCAACATCAGCGATTGCCTCCACCGAGGGATGATGATCCCGATCTCGTTGATGGTGGCAATGCTCGAGCTCCTGAGGTGGCCGAGACATCACCACCAACGTCAAAATGTAGGATCATCTCACCTCTTGTGACGATACCCGTCGGTTGTTGGAAGAACGCATTTCTTGGCTCCCAGATCCCCGTTCACTGTAGGCGCCTTCCTACCTCAAGAGTAGAACGGCCGTCTCTCTTTCCCTCCGAGAGACGATGCTCCCGATATGGGCGATGATGGCAATCCTCGGGCTTCTGAGGCGGCCTGGACCGATGTCGCACCGGCACGACCTGGTCCCCCCCCCCCCCCTGCCGGCGAGACCACCACCCAGAGAGATCACGCAGACCCCCTGCGCCGCCACCGCCCCCGTACCACTCCAGAGAGGAGAGCAGCGAAGCGGCCCGGCCTCGTCTTGCGTGCCCCGGCCTGGCACCTGGCATGCCTGGGCGTCGTGCGCTGCCTGCGGCACCTTGCTGGGCGGGCCGAGCGGCATCGGCAAAGTGCAGGCCGCCTCTCCGGGCGCGCTCCGCTTCGGGCGCCTTCGCGCGGCGGGGGCGCTCGAGGTCGGCAAGCTGAGAGCAGCGAAGCGGAAAAACGTCGGATGCCAGGCAGTGGGCACCAGCACCAACACAGGGGGCGTCTTCGCCGGTCGGGAGAAGGTGGGTCGAAGCATGAAGCAGGGAGGCGGTGACGGTAGGCCGCGGGGGTGGACAGACCTCTTACCCTGACACGTCGATTCAGGAATCGGCCGTTCTCGGTTCGCGAGGGAGCGTCGCGGCCGTCATTTTTGCGGGTCCAGGTCCGTCGGTTTCGGTCCTAGGCCGTTTTCACTAAGGGGAGGTTTACTAAAGGGAGGTTTGTCCACCGCCGAGGCTGGGCTTCCACCCGCCCCCTGGGAGGCTTCGTGCATTGCCACCATCACCCCGATCGTTTCTCGGTGGAGGCAATCGTCGATGCTGGTTTGTTGCCAGCCTCTGAGACTCCCAAGGAGCACCCAACAGGAACACGCTCTCACAGAACGCGTGCTCCTGCCCGGGCGATCTCTCCTGGAAGATTCGCTCAGACGACCAAGGATCCTGGTTGGAGGCGCCCCACATGGGTTCCGAGCAGATTGGGTCGGGGGATCTCGCCGCATCTGCGACGCATCGCCGGTCCGGCCCGATGTGGTTCCCGATTGCTCTCCACGCAGATGTCGCCGATGCATAGCGGACGTCGTCCATGCATCGCCGATGGATCGGCGATGCACCAGTGATGCGGCACGATGCACCGAACCAATCAGCTCGGAGTCCACACGTGGGAGGTCTCCAGTCGGGGCATGGTCACAAGGAGGCGCAGTGGCAGGTCGTGGCTGCGTGGGGTTCGGGCCATCCGCGCCCCCTCCATGCCCTTGTCCTCCTCCTCCTCCTCCTGCTTCTCCTCCTCCTCCTTCTTTCTCCTGCTCATCCTCTGCCTCCTCTCTCCCTCCCTCCCTCCTCCCTCCTTCTCCCTCCCTCCCTCCCTCCCTCCCCGTCCTCCCTCCCTCCTCCCTCCTCTTCCTCCCTCCCTCCCCCGGGGCGGCGCATTTAGCCTCACGCGGCTCGCCTTGTTTCTTGCGTCGGGCTCTGCCTGTCCATTGGTGGTAGCGCCCGCGGGCACTCGAGCTCCGCGGACGGCGCTCCCATGGTGTGTTCGGTCGGCCCTGCTGCGCTGAGTCCTCGGGCGGCCTGTGGCAGCGAGTGGTGGTGGACGCAGGCGGGCGCAAAAAGCGGGAAGCTGCGCATACGGGCATGTTTCTTGCATGATTAAGTTTCTGCCGTTCTCCAATCGTTGCACATATCTGCCTCTTTCTATCTCTCTCTATCTCTCTCTCTCTCTCTCTCTATTGCGAAGGCCTGACGGCCGGTGCCGCCGATCCTGTAGGGGAACGACGACGGCGGCGGCGGCGGTAGCGACGACGACGATGCTGACGTGGGTTGAGTCCTCAAACGTGCTTCTTGGGGTTTCTTCCGAGCGCTCTCGGGGTCCTCTGGGGGGATGTTTGGGGGCCTCTTGGGAGCCTCTTGGGGCCTCTTTGGGCTTTCTTGGGGCCTCTTGGGGGCTTCTCTGGGCTGAGGGCTCGAAACGTCCGTTCGGGTCCCCCGTCTGGGCGCTCTCTTGGAACCGTCCTGGGGGCCTCTTGTCCCGTCTTGGAGGCGTCTTGGGCCGTCTTGGGGCATTCTTGGGCCGTTTGGGGGCTCTCTTGGAGGCCTCTTGGGCCGTCTCGGGGCGACCTTAGGGGCCTCTTGGGCCGTCTTGGCGCGTGGGGAAGCGGAAGAGGCGAGAACGCCAAAATTCTTGACAAACGTATGGGAATTCCATGATTTTTGCCTCTTGGGGCTCTCGTGGGAACGGTCCTGGAGGCCTCTTGGAGCGTCTCGCAGGCCTCTTGGGCCGTCTGGAGGCCGTCAAGGCGTCTTGGACAGATCATTCGGCGATTCGGGGCCCTCTTGGATCGTCTTGGGGGCCTCTTGGGGCACTCTTGGCCCGTCTTGGGGCTTTTTTGGGCTGTGGGATTCCCCGGGAGGGCGGCGTAAAAACCCGGGACCCCAGCCGGGACCCACCCCGGGACCCCCCCCCCCCTGGGCGGGGAAGGGATCAAAGGGAAGGGGCTGCCCTTCGACTCAACTACGATGTTGCTCAATTTCGCTTTGGACTGGCACGCTTCAGAAGCAACGACGCTGTGGGGAAAGGGGAAGGAACGACGACGACGACGAAGAGGGAACAGACGGAGAAGCCTCTTCCACACGCCGACAGGGTCGGCGGATTTCTGTCTCTCTCTCTCTCTCTCTCTTTCTGTCTCTGTGTCTAGTTTTGGTTCCAGCAAGCGCGAACGAGGAACGAGGAGCGTGGACCGTTTTTCTTAAGGAAAATCTTTTTATAGGGCTCCGGATTGCATCTTGGACGGGCGTTGGCGGATTTCTAAATTGGCCGTCCCGGGTTAGCGAGCCGCTCGTGGCCGCGAGGCGGCCGCGCATATTGGCTGACCCGGGTTTGCGAAGATTTGCGTTGCAGTTTTTTTTCCTGCATTGCAGTTTTTGGTTTCCTGCTGACCCGGGTCTGGATTGACCCGGGTCAGAAGATCGCCGACCAAGAGCGCCCCAAGAAGACCCCCAGAGACCCCCAAGAGCGCTCTAGGAGCCACCCACACAGCTCACGAGAACCCCAAGACGGGCCAAGAAGGGCCAAGAAGGCCCCAAGAGACTCCCGGGAGCGCCCCAGGAGGCCCCGCCGAGACGGCCTAAGAAAGCTCCCACGGAACCCCACGACGCGCCCAGACAGCCCAAGAAGACCCCAGAAGCCCATAAGAGGACCCAAGGGGCCCCCAAGAAGCCCTCAACAGGCCCCAAGAGAACCCCGCGCGGCGCCAGGAGCAACGTCTTTCTCCAATTGCTTCGTACTGTCCTCTGTCGTCGTCGTCGTCGTCGTCGTCGTCGTCGTCGTCGTCGTCGCCCTCCGCATTCGTCCTCGTACTCGCCCTCGTTCTCTTCGTCATCGTCCTTGTGCTTCTCTTCCTCCTCGTTGTCCTCATGCTCCTCCGCGCTATCCTCACGTTCGCCACGTCGTCCTCGTCATCGACTCCTCGTTGTCCTCGCCTTCCTTTTCTTCTTCGCCTAATACGCCCAATAGACTAAAGCGGCGCTTCCCGTTCTTGTCCATTCAGGTTCTAAATTGGCCGTTTCGCTCGGGACATCCTCTAAAAAATGGAGTTGGCGTTGGCTCCAGGCCGCCTTTGTGTTCAGATCGCTCTTGGAGCGCCCAAGAGGGTCCCCAGAAGGCCACAGGACGGCTCCAGGGGGCCCGCATGACGGCCCCAGAGGCCTCCAAGATCTCCCCCAAGAGGGCCCAATCGTCAAATTCCTATCGGAAAACGTATATTTTAAGTATATACGACTTTCTCGTCTTCACGACGTCGAAGACGGTCCAAGAGTCCCCCAAGACCGACCCGCGACGGCCCAAGAGACTCTCAAGAGGCGCCCAAGACGGCCGAAGAGGGCGCCAAGACGGCCCAAGAGGCTCCCAAGAAGGCCCACGAGGGCCCCAAGAGGGGCCCAAGAGGGTGAGCCCGAATCGAAAATCGGAGCACCCCGCCCAAAGACGGCCCTAGGAGGCCCTAGGAGGCGCCCAAGAGGTCCCACGAGGCCCCCGAGAGGCCCCCAAGACGCCCCCAAAGGCCCCCAAGAGGCCCAAAAGAGGCCCCAAGAGGACTCGAAACGGCCCGCGAGAAGCCTCCCAAGAGAGCCCAACGAACTTTCACTTCGTCCCATTCTCAATACCCCGGCACGGTGGCGGGATGGACCGAGGGTCACTAGATTTTCCATCTCCTTATCCCGAATTCGGGTTACACAGCCCCGAGACAGCTCAAGAGGGCCCGAACACGGCGCCAGAGGGATCCAAGAGGGCTTCATGTTACAGGCCTCTTGGACCGTCTTGGGGTTATCGCTGGTCGTATTCAAAGTATGATGGGCCGTCTTGGAGCATCTTGGAGTGGCCGGAGACGGCCGGAGGCATCCTGGGAATTCCTGGGAGGGGTGAGGGATCTAGTCCGTTTGACCAGATCCCCCCCTGCAAGCCAGCCGGACCGAACCCCAAGGGGACGGCGGATAGCTCGGGATCTTGAAGGTGGACGCGGGGGCCGCGTGGTATCTGACCGCTTGCGCACAATACAAGTAATAGCGGTTCCAGGGCGTGAATTTGGCTGCTATTCAGTGGGTCCTGGTCGCCGAGGCATGAACCCAGAGTACTTTGCAATGGGTCGTGGCCTCGGAGGCGCGTATCGCGTGTACTTTACGAGGGATCTGCGCCTCGGGAGCGCGAGCGTCGTATATTTTCGAGGGATCCTTGACTCGGGCACCGCGCAGTCCCCTCCTGTTCGCACAAGCGTTCCAGTTTTGACGTCCCCATGTGATGCCACACCTGCAACGAACGTTCGAACATTCGCTTCCCGTTCGTGTGAGGTCAGGTTTCTCTCTCTCTCTCTCTTTCTCTCTGTCTCTGTGTCTAGTTTTGGTTCCAGCATCGCGCCCTGTCAACGCGCTAACGGGGCCCTACCTTGGAAGTTCTGGAGATGCCGCCAAATGCGGGGATCGATGCTGACATGCGTCCCTTCATCCGTCCTTGCCTCGCTTGGCGGGCGATCCCCATTTTTTCTGTGTCTCTGTTCCCGTGCCCTCCTCCGAGAAGCCTCAGGTTATTGATACTCCTTCAAAAACCACCCCGCAAGAAGTATTCGATAGGCGTCATGGCTGACAGGCGCACGTCGGAAAGATCAGTGTCCTCGGGTGTCGACTTCGCTTCGGATTCTGCGGCGTTGGGCAGTGTTGTGAGCGACTATCGAGGCGACGTCCGATGGTGCGCAATTGCCGCCGCGTGTTCTCACTACCGTTCGAGTGTTTCGTCCCGCGGCTGGACCCGTGACCATCTCCCTTCCTCCAATCACGACGGACAGTTCTTGGCCAGTTTCGGCCTCGGGGTGCCTCCGCCGGACCCCAGGACCGTCAAGAAACGACCCGGGATAAAAACATGTGTCCGGGTGGCGGGCGAGTGGGGAGGGGGAGTGGGGACGGGGAACCGAGGAGGGAGGGGAAGGCACTCGAGGAGGTGGCAGGAGTGGGGGAACCTGCAGCGGGAGAGGGACCGAGGGGGGGCGGCGCAAGGGAGAGGGACGACAGCGCGCGGATGAGGACGAGGAGGGGGAGGGGAGGATGGGATCTAGACTTCCAGGAGTCCAGGTTGTGGAAGAATCACCCGTCGGCAATTGGGGCCGTCTGTGGGGGGGCCATGGGGGCGCCCAGGGACGATCGAACAGCGTTCTTGGCATCGCTCGGACGTGTGCATTTTTCCTTCGGGGAGGACCATCGAGGATCATCCTTGATCATTTGGCGAAAAAAAACACGCACGAACCGAAAAAAACACAGGAACTGGACGTCCGAGCGATGGCGAGCGTTCGTCCCAGCGCCAAGACGCAACTCGGCAGCTTCGCGTTGCTGCCCTTCCGTTGGCCAGCCTGGCCAGGGCCTTGTCGATCCTAGGGGCCCCCATGCTGGGCAGGTGCGGGGGGGGCGTGTCGAGGATGACGGGGGGGGGGGGGAGGAGTAGAAGAATGGAGGAGAAATGGGGAGGAGAGAGGAGAGAGAAGGAAGAGGAGGAGGAGAGCGACTACGAAGAAGGGAGGATTGCAAGGATCAGGGCGACGTCGAGGAGGAGTGGAGATAGGGAGGAGGAGGAGGTTTTTTCGTCATCGGTCCCATAGGGCATGAACTCTATCAGCGGCGACCGAGGAGGCTTATGCTCGAGCCTCGGTCGAGAGCGCCCTGTGGCGTTGCACAATAGGCTCTGAAACAAACTAGGCAGAGCGCAAGAACACGGCGCCAGCACGGTCCACGAAGCTAGCTTCGCCAGACCACTGGTGACACGCACAAGCACACTGCAGCAGCATTAAACGCGTTCGACGTGAAACGCCTCCTCCTCGGCTGCCATAAGAGGATCTTCGTCCTCATCATGGGCGAGGCGCACGGCTGCCTCGCGCAAAGCTTGGCCAGAAGGCTCCCGTGGCTCCTGTCCATCAGCAAGCAAAACACCCAAAGATCTCGACGCCTCTTCCTCGGCAGCAAAATCGTCGACGGGCTCCTCTACACGCGCAAATGCGCTGGAGGGACTCTGACTCGATGCCGAAGAGTGGTGCCGAGATGCCGTGACGACTCGATCGCTCGAATTGGCGGCCGC